AGGGGAGTTTTTACATCACTGACATCTCATCTCAACATACAAAAATCTCATGGCTTTTCAAAATCTCTGGTGTTTAACCCCATTGGATTTATTAATCTTTCACATGCTGGCAGTTCTGCAGAAGTGATCATGTTGAATTAACTTTTCTGATTGGTTAAAGCTTAGAATCAAGTTACAAAAGTAAAGATTTCTAAGCTGCAGCATTAGACACTAAACAACATTTAGTGTTTAATGCTGTTTAATGTTAGCAATTTGTTGTTAATGGTTAAGCTTAGGGTAAGGGTTAGGTCAAAGAAATTAATGTGAATGACCTAGAATGGGGACATTAAAACTTGTATGTGTATATTTACACATTAAAACACTTACAGATTATTAACAAGCATGGAAAACACGGCAAAAACAGCAGAGATAGAAATACAGGTAACACAAAGAAACAATGAGTTCAGCTAGACATGTTGGGATTTAGGCTGATACAGACATATAGCCTACATCTGCTGTAAACTGTAAGGTATTTCACCAAATGACATATCTTCAACACAGAAACTTGGTGTACTGTATGAGCTATCTTTCAGATATAAAGTGATCTACTGTATTTAGAAGCTTTTAAATAGAAAGCAATGACTGTGTAATCTTCAGAAAAATGAATTTTGGTTACAGTCAGTCTCAATCCAGAATGGAGTCGATTTAAAGCAAAACAGAAATACTTTAGGAGAACCCTTTTGATGAATTAAGTAGGACTGCATATGATTATTAATAATGACATGCCAAATCCTGTCATCGAAGCAATCTCCACAGTACTTTAAAGCCATTATAGTGAGCTGTATAGTTAATCTGTTTGGATATACATTTACACTCAGCAGTTGCACTCTCCTATCTGTATTAAAAACGTGTTATTTAAAATTCAACCAGGAGAGACTCACACTGAGAAAAGTGGCAATTAGATAATATTACATTTATTTAAACAGGTAACGCAATCATATTCAAATATTTCTATCTAAGAAAAACCAGCTGATTGTAAGGACTCATTGACTCTCTGTAATCCCTTGCACTAAGCATGCATGCAGCAACAGTGGAGAGGAAAAACTCCCTTTTAACAGGAAAAAACCTCCAGCACAATCAGGCCCAGTGTGAGCGGCCATCTGCCGAAGCCGACTAGGGTTCAAGGAGAACCCCTTAAAAATGTTGATATGAATAAAATGTTCTTTGGCGCCCGGTCCCTGGCAGAAGACTTTGATGCTGTGAATCAACATACACTTGGATTAGTAACCTAGAAAAGGATTAGACTTCCCCCCGGGGCCCAGACACTGATGGTGGAATAAGCCAGAGGATGAGTGGGACTGAGAATGAGGGAGAAGATGGGGCTGAGGTTTGTGAAAGTTTGCTTGCATGCAGGAGAGAGAGGGTGGGCCAGGAGCTACAGGTAAATGAAGGGGATCTTGAAAGATGATTGACTTCGGAGAAGCTGCCGCCCACGAGTTGATTGGCTGGAGGTGAACTAGGGACATCGCAGGTGGTTCAGTTGAAGCTGAAGTCTTCCAGTGGAATTTACACTTAAGCTTCATGACTCAAAACATCTTGAATTCTTTGTTACATTGATACTAATGCAGGTTAATGAACTGCTAATCCTTCTTATTCTGTACCTCATGGAGGTAACCTTAATTTCAATTATATCTGTACAGCCATGTCTGTATCAGGAAACAATATATTAAATAAATAATATTGAAACTTCTGCTAGGTTTGTTTTGTTAATAATAATACAGTGAAATAAGTGAAATCAAGGTTGTGATTTTACATTTAGCAGATGTTATATAACTGCACATGACTGAGTCCAAAGTCTGATCTCTAATATCATTGATTCATTTAGGAAAATGTTCAATCTTTTTGTTTTTTTACAAACCCACTTAGTATTGATTCCAAACTGAGATTAAGTCAGAACTTAATTCCCTGGAAATAGTCTTCCAGACTCCATAACCTCTTCATCGCCCTACAAAGACAAAAGAATGAGTCATGCACATTGTTCTTTGTGAAATGCAAGTGTTCTTTTTGCTTCCGCCGCTGACCTCTCTGTGTCCATTTCCCCCTCTCTGCTGTGTCACCATATGTGTACCAAAAATGGGAAAGAGCACCCGTGGCTTCCACCTCCAACCTGCCAAGGCGCAGAGCGGAGAGGAGCCAGAGCTGACTGAGGCACCGGGAACATTGGAGCAATGATTGCTCCATTTACGTCACCACTGAGTTTTGCTGGTAATGCTGAGCAATAGTGGCTGTTTTGGTCACTTTGTCAGGGTTCGGGCTGTTTCCTTTGAAAAAAACGTCCATGACTAATGACCTGATGGTGGAGGGGAAAAGAGAAGGAGTATTTTGGGAGCTTAAAGTAACAACTATGCACTAATATAATTCATTTCTTTAATTCTTCTGTAACATTTGTGTTTTTCAGATTGCATCCACCTTTTGTTTTCAGCACATTTCCACCATTTTTAGCGCATTTATCTGTTTGTTGTGAGTTTGAACCTGTCGACCACCATAGTAAGGTCAGTTAAGACATTTCACGGTTAAAATAAAACAAAAAATAAAACATGTGTATTATAATTTGTGTCAAACTCTGGGTCTTGGGGTGTAAAAGGTCCATGAGGGAATCCCAAAGCCTCTCCTCGATGACCCAGTTTAATGGTTCCAAAGGCATTGCCATCCATAAGGGATCCATAGTCCCTCCATTCTGGGTCTATCCTGGGGTCTCCTCTCGGTGCGATCTGGCATGATAGACCTAATAAGTGTGATCCAGTGGAAGCCTTCCCATCAGATGCCAAAGCCACCAAACAAACTAACTCCTGATATGGAAAAGCAGAGGCTCTACTTTGATCTCCCTCCAGAGGATAAATAATTAGAGCATAAAGCAGTAAAAAAAAAAAAGATATACTTCGGTCGAGGTGCCTTTGACATCTCAACCTTCAAAGATAAAGATGTGATGAAAATCAGATGGAAAAAGGACACAATATGTTTTTTTTACTCACTATTTATTGACTATAGTCACATGCATACTTGCTTACAGCTGATTTTAGTGTGCAATACACAGCTTCATTTTGTGTTATTGTTTAGATTATAGTAAACCAAATGCATTTAACCTCAAAGGCTGCCTTACCAAAACTCTATACATGTTTCATTTTGTCACAGTTTCAACACAGAAGAACATTTTCTTAAAAGCCAGAAGCCATAGATACACAAGGTATGGGTGTTTGGAGATTTTTACTGGTGTCTCATTAGCTGCTTTGTATCTGGTTTTATTGACGAGTGCAGTAATTTATCACTGAAAAGAGTCAAGTTTTACATTCTTCTATCCAGAGAGATTTTTTAATGCACAGATACCGGTTAAATAGAGAAGTGTGTATCTATGACTACTGCACGACAACACAACCATCGAGGAAACGGTTTGGAGGATATCGCTGATTCCAGGCGTCTGACTTCTCTGCTACGACATAAAACCTTTTTGTATTTTTAAAAAATAAGTTAACTCTCACCAAACTGTGTGGGAAATCCACGCTGGCTGTTTATGTGTGCCCCCCCCCCGTCTTGCTTTGATGGCACATTTGAAAAATCTTATTTCAGACTTGTAGGGAGAACACCAAGAACTCATCAACATACCGTATCATTCAGTCCTTAATCCAGATGTGATTGTATTCTTCATAGAGTGCAAATTCTGAGTAAGCCAACTATTGTGTTTATATACATCAAGAAAATAACTCATCCATAAAACCTGGCATAACCCAAAGCAAAGCGACACAATAGTTTTGTTCAACTAGCTTTAAAATAGCCTTACAAACTAAAGTAGTGTTTTACGAAAAAAACAATAAATTAACCTCAAATACATCTGCGCTTATCACCATTACTTCTGATGTAAAATCTAATATAAGGTTTTAGTTTCAAAAGCTCTTTTGTCTCTGCTTGGGATGATGTCACATCTGCGAAGAAAGAAAACCTTTTGAGCTGGCTTCTCTTCCACTCTGTCATCTGGCGCCTCACCTAAAATAACCCTAAAATAAAGCAAACGACTCACTGCAGCACTTCTGTTTTTTTTTTCAGGTAAAGTAAAAAGCACATCATAGAAACACTACTGTCCAATCAGTTCACACTGAGGATTAGTCAAAGCTATATTTAAAAGAGAGAGAAGAGATATTATACTATATATTAGCGTTGCAAGTCTCTTACACGTATGTATTTATAATTCACAAAGCCCGCACAGAAAGCATCGGCATTAACCAAGTGGGGGAGATGTCGTCAAGACGATGAACTGGATGTGCTTTAGCCTTGAAGCATTAATAGAAGACCACAGCAAACAGTCACTGACTGGACTATTCAGCTCTGAGTTCAGAATGAATAACAAAGGGGAAAAAAATTAAAGCAGGATAAGCTGACTAAATTATTTCTCTGGTTGAAGCAATGATATGTAGGCAGGATAATAACTTGAACAAGGCTGGTGATGCTTGAAATCCCACGTCAGTGTAATGATGGCTAGTTTACACAGTAGAGTGAACTCAATGGGAGAACCACACTATATAACAATCATAAAGGATTAATTAAGAATTACACCGACTTTTTGGAGCTTGGCTCCAAAGTTTTCCTCATTTCTTTGTCCACCTCTAATAAAAATAAAACTTTTTGTTTTGTCATAGCACAAGATTAAACAAAGGAATTAGTTGGATGACAGATAATAGCTTAAAAAACACAGTTGATTCTAATTAATAGAACTTAAAACATTGTTCTTATTACGCTGCAAAAACAATCTAAAAAATGAGAAAAAATTTCTTAAATTAAGTGTATTTACCATTAATTTGAGTAGGTAAATAAGATAATTTGCCAATGGAATTAGTATTTTTAGTCTTAAAATACGATTAGATAATATTCACTTGAAATAAGACAATGCAATTGTGTTTTCTTATTTTAAAAGTAAATTGGCTTGTTCCATTGGCAAAGTGTCTCAATTACCTCCTCAATTCAAGAAAAAATGCACTTATTGCAAGAAAAAATGACTTATTTAGATTTCAATTTTTTGCAGTGTAATGATGAAATTCCAAAATAAATACTAAATGTTTGCATTTTAAATATATAGATATATAAACAAAATCTTAAAGAGGTCGTATAACTTTTTTTCAGAGCTTTATATTAGCATAGGAAATCGCTGATAGGTGGATGAGTGATGTGGCTGTTAATCAGGGCCAAAACCTGAGGATCGATCCAAATAGTTTTAATTCTAGCTCCTACCTCCTGTTCATAGCTCCTATCCTTCACCTTTCATGGGGTCAACAGAAAGAACTCTATCCAGGGCAAGAAAGGAGCTCCAGACAGCCTTCAGCCTTACAGACACCATGATGTGGTGGATACAGACATATATGATGCTGATCAAATTGGGACTACAGCTTTCTGGAAAGGGAACTACCGGTACTGAAATCTGAAGTTACACAAATGTAGTGCACAGTGCTCTTTTCATAAAACCCAGAACATATGAAGGTGGGTATATTTGTACGTGTGACACAGAGAACACATTACGAAAACCTTTTTAATTTGACGAGGTCGGCTCTGCCTATACTGTCAGTCACACAAAGGATCTTGCGCAACTGTATAGCTGTTAGCAGTGGTTAGAAACTTCCTGCTTCCTCTGCCTGCACTATTCAGATAGCACTCATTAGGGCGTCCACTCACACACTTCTGCTATAGATTTTGTGTCTACCCTTATTAGAGGTATTAAGACTAAGCCTTAGTGTCATTTGTCTGAATTTGTGTGGCACTTAATAACTAGAAATATGTGTTTTTACTTGAAAAAAGTAGAACTTAAGACGTGATTCTTTTCAAGTGAATGTAGCACATAAAATTAGGTATGAATTTGTGGTTTTTGTTTAGCTAGATTACACAAAATGGGACACAACTATGACCACTAGATGGTAGCAAATCGTTTCCAATATAAATTAATATAAATTAACTATATAAAAGTGGTAGATACGCCACTTGCATGTAGTTGATAAAGAACTCTGCTAAAAAAGTATGATCTAGAAATTATTGTGGCAACTGTCTACAAAGTTAAAGTTCCTTGTTAACTTATAAGTATAATTTTAGAATAGTTCAATAGCATTAAGGGTTTATAAAAAAAACATAATAAGGATTTTTAATTATCTCGCTATTTATGATGAAGTAATTCAAAGATTTAAAAAGGGCATTTCAATGCATAACAATGGCTTTAAAGAAGTGAAATACTTTGAGTCTGAGGACTTGAAAGTATTATGAAGACTGTTAAAAGCTTTGTAACACTTTTGAGGGGAAGACACAGAGGTCCAGCAGCCACACTGGACAACGATGTTTAGCCCCTAAAAGGCAGTTCATAAAGATCTGTGCCATGTAACGGGAAGTTGGGAGAAAAGAAAGTGTAATTTTGAGGAAACATTTAGAAAAAATCTGAAAGCACTGAGTCAAAAAAAAAAACGTTAAAATTTGACCTACCTACGAATTGCTTATTTAGGTGTGGTTTTAAATGAACATTTTCATGGAATGTAAATCAACAGTGCAGCTAATGTTATTTCTTATGTTAAACATCCAACAGGAACATGTGCACAACTTCCCCTAAAGAGCGTTGGTGCGGATCCTTCAGTTGGACGTTGGTCAGTAGGACCAAACTCCCAAAAGTTTGCATTTATAACAAGAATGTGCACGTTTCCTAAACAGGCACAGTCATTTTCTAATAAACTATCATTTTCCCTGATTCTCCTGAATTGTTTTCACAAATTCTCCTGGAACATTTGGCAGATAAGTAAAAATTGCACTATCATTAATCTTTCTTGTGCTATACCATGTGTTCTGTAAACACAAAAGCCCTTACTAACAAGGGGCACTGCCTACATATTGCTGATAATTACCACTTTGAATGTGTGGGTGGGGAAATGTTTATGGGTTTGTTTTTTTTCACAGCTCGTGTTTGTGGTTAAAAATGAGCGGTAGGCTGCAGAGATGGAAGGTGTGTTTGTTGTGCCTCACACCACAGGTGGTCTGACACAAAAGCCTCTGGGCTCTAAAGTTCAAGAAGAGGCGTTGTGAGGGGCAACCATGCATGCTGAAAATATCAACCCGTTGCTCGGCCTTCCGCAAGCCGCAACCAGCAATTTGTGTAAACAAATGGTTCATCTATTTAACCTCTTAGTTACGATGCAAACCTTCAAATCTGGTCCCTTCATTACAAACTCAATGGAACATTTGTCTCCCTTAATGGTCTCTGTAAGCACTACCAGTCCAGCCTCCCATCTCATTTTTTTCTTCTTTCATTTTTTAGTCAGACCACTCGTTCTCATCCAACTCTGAGTCGTCATCGGATTCGCTGTACTCCACCGCGATGCGACGCGACAGGATGGTGGCCACGTCGTTGCCAACAGGCTCCCGCTTGGCCTCTTGCTCCCTCTGCTCCTGCACCTTCCTCAGCTGGATGCCTGTAAGGAGACAGGGATGGGAGGAGTAATGAGGCCTGGTGAAATCATTGTTTACCTGTAGTGTTTCTACTGATTAATCTTGATTTCTTTTCCTCCTCTAAACTTCCTTTCTATGACTCTTATTATGTAAACAGGCTCCTTTCCATAAACTGGATAGCTTCTTAATGAGACCTGATTTAACTCCAACTTAGCTCAGCCGCTATGTTAACGTGTATTTTTGTGAATATAAACATGCATGAATAAATGAAATTCAACTGTCTGATTGTGGTGGATCCTTCTACCTCAACCACAAAGTGTTAATATTTCTGAATGGTTTAACTTATTTTTTGAGGTTCTACAAGTACAGATCAGCTGGAGGTGGAAGCTAGGGACAAACCACTCTCCCAAAGAACTGAGGGGGTAATTTGATTTTTTTGACCATAGTTATTTTGTCACCTTAATATTCACTTATTATTTTAAATATGTTTTAGTTTTGTATGGATATTTTTGATTTATAGCTTTTCTATTATATTGCACACCCCTCATGTTGCAAGCTTAGGTTATTCTACCCTCATTTAAAGCAGCCTCTGTTTTTTATAGTAGTCAGTTTTTGGTTTGAGTTACTGTTCAGTTGACCTCAGTTGAGTTGGGCCCAAATCCATGTTATTTATTATTTAAGCTATTTTGTATGGCCTTTGAACCTTTGTTAATTATTTTTGACATTATTAAATGAAAGTTTTTTTTCAATTTTTTAACACCTTGTGTCCTTATTTCAGTTTGGTCCCGCACACTGATTAATCACGATAAGCTCAATCAAACCCCAAACAATATGGCTACCAAGATAACTTAATCCTCAATATCTTCTGATGAACATAGAAAGCACTTGCTTTTTTATCTTAACATTTCATTTTGATATTTGTTGGGTAGATTCTTATAGTATATCTCATATTGCAATATCATGACAATACGAGGGGCGTTCAATAAATAATGCCCCTGACACATTTCCAAATGTTTGATCCTGCTGAAATTTTGCATGTGAGGTTATTTAAATCTCTATAGATTAAGTAGCAAATTACAGCTCTGAACTATTTGTGGTTGCTGACTTACAGGTGTTTGAACTGAGTAAAGTCTGAAATGGAGGCTTTTGTAGGTGTGGAACGGTTCACAAAATCCACGGTTCGGTTCGGTTCACCATTTCGTGGTCACGGCTTTCGGTTCGGTTCGGTATATGTTTATTGTTACACCGAAAAATTAAAAAAATAATAAAAATGAATGAAAATGTTTTTTCTTTATGAAATTAATGAAAAAATCCAAAAAATTTAATGAATTGTAATTATTTTTAATGATTCGCGGAAACCATGGATAATTTCCGCATGTTTTGCTGCTTTGAATTTAATCATCTCGCGCATGCTCTCTACGATCTCCAAGGGACTCGGAGTGGAGCGGACGTGATCCACAGTGCAGGCTGTAGGCTTTGCTTTGTGCAGGCGGTCTGGAGCGCAGCGGGGCGGAGGGGAGTTGCTGACGGAGTATGTGGGATTTCAGGGTTAGCATGACATGTTGGTCATGTTGCTGTTAGCATAAATAAAACGTGTTGCACCATGCTTGCACACTGTTGCACTTTTATCCACAACTTTCTTTCCGCCGTCATCGTAGGTCACTCTAAATGGTTTTCAAAAACCGTTCCATCCCTAGGCTGTTGAGCCCGAGCAGTGATCCGTTTTTTTCTATTGGAAAGGACTCACACCATGGGATACTTTTGATGAAATTAAAGTGACTTATGGTGATGATGCCTGTTATATGACGTGGCAAAAGGTTTTACAAGGTTATATTATGGACCATTATCACTAGTTACTTTCATTTGATCAAATGCAAAAACACAGACTTGACTCAGTTTGAACAGCTGTAAATCAGAAACCACAATTAGTTCAGAGCTGTAATTTGTTATTTAATCTATAGAGATTTAAATAATTTCACATGCAAAATTTAAGGTTGATCAAACATCTGGAAGTGGGTCAGGGGTATTACTTATTCAACGCGTCTTGTATGTTATCCTGACCAGAGTATCTTGATGCGTATCGTATTGCATGCCTTGCCAAAACTCACTTTACTTGTTACACGTAAATTTGATCAGTTTTATTCAAGCTCCAATTTTGATATGATTTCAACTGATGTTTTTTCACTTAAATAAAGTAAAAACAATTTGATATTTTGAACCATGGATGCAGAAAAGCAAAATTTTTATTTGTTTTTATTCCACATTTTCCACTGGTAATCCAATCAAATAGGACTAATGTCCTAATTACTAAGGGAAAGACTTTTGTCTGATCCAATATTTAATTTTGGTCCAACTTGATGTATAGTTTTTTTACTAGCTTAATAACCTGAAAGGTCTCAGAGTTTTTATAATTGTGTCCATTGGATATTATAGACATTTCACTACAAGTATACCAAGTTGCCTACAGACTGCAGACATTTATATTCTTTAACCCTTTATAGGGCAAATTACCATTTTTGATACCTTGCATACCCCTTAAAAATGGAGTCCCCCCCTGCCCCTCAGTGAGGTCTAGAAACACAAGATCTACATCCAGCCATTCAGCAAAGATCCTGCTGCATGGCTGTACATCTTATTTTGGCATTTGACCAATTAGATGAACCCCTGAATGATATATTACCTACTATAAATTACGTTGAAAAAAAAAGTTAAGTCAACAAAAAAGGTAAAAAAGCTAATTGAAAAGCTAAAAAGTAATGTTAAACATTTAATAAGCTTAGTTAACAATTATATTGAGGTTTATAAACTAAAAAATGTAAGTGCCAGTATCAGCATTAATGCCTCTAAGGTTATGTTGGACCAAAAAAAAGTTTTTTAAATAAATTTCTTATACTTTTGTTATTTTTCTTAATATATTCGGGCAAGTTGGCGTTTCTTATTACATTGACATCAATATTTGCCATCAAAATATCCATATTTTTTTTTATGTTACAAAGGTAATAATAACACTATGGCTTAAAATGTTGATTTTTCAAAGTATTTCACTGAGTGCCCTATAAAGGGTTAACTTTGCTTATTGCGTTACAACACTGGCCACAACTTTAAAAATAAACAGCTAATGAGGTAATGTCATTGTGAAAGACAACGTGTAGGGATGTGAAACTATCACCTTTGAGCTGAAGTAGATATTTACACGGAAACCATTTGTTTTGGTTGATTTTTTTCATGGTGAGAGATTTTTAAGCTGAAGTGAAATTAATGGTTTCAATCCAGAAAAAAAACAAATTTTCACTTTGGTATATTGATTTTCACTTCTTTTGTGTGGCTTCTGTGTGGTTAGCTAACCCATTATAGGAAACCATAATGCTGTTATGAGGGCGAATCTTAAGATACCACAGGATATCCATGCTGCATTAAAATGTTCTTCTGTTCCCTGACAAACAAACAATCACCTAAACGCCTACAGTTAAGGTCAAAGTGAGATTTCTGTTTTTACTGCAGCTACTTTGTTTTAATGTTATTTTCTATTTGCTGATGCTCCCATGTTATTGGAGGTCAAGTGAAAAGAAAGCAGATGGTTTCATGTTTTATGATACAGGAAGTAATTACCATATTCTACCCAAAATACATAAAATATTGTCAATAATGACGTCAAAGATTTATGTAAAAGAATATCTTGAGTTTCTTCCACCTGAAATTATTGTTTAATTACTGAAATGTATGTTTCTATTTTTATCTCATTTTTAAAAATTTGCAGATAACTACATGTTTTGTAAATGTACATTATTTCAGATGTCAGTTAATCAGTAATTGAGTAGCATTTTTCCCAATTACTTTATTATTCTAAGTTGAGTAACTTCTTTAAAACCTACTTCTTACTTCTAATTGGGTAAAAGTATGTTGAAATAGTGCTACTCTTATTTGAGTAAAATTATTGGTTGCTCTCCTCTAACGATAACTATGTAAAATATCTGAAGATTGTTGACGCTCTTACCTCTACGTATGGCGGCCAGCAGGTCGGAGCGGGCGTCGCTCATTGGGATCATCCCCAGCATGGTGGACTTCCTTGTCGGTGCCGAATCCACGGCTGCTTGGCCAACGGCAGTGTGCGCCGGGGAAGGGTGAGCCTGGTGTCCCGCTGGGACTCCGGGGGGTGGGGGTGGAGGGGCGGCTGGGGGTGCGCCTGAAGGTGGGTGGGCGGGTGAGGGAACGTAGTTGGCCGGGGGAGGAGGAGGAGAGGGGGAGTAGTGGCAGGAGAGGGCAGAAGAGGTGGGGGGGACGGTGGAGGCGCCAGCGGACGTCGGAGCGGTGGCGGCGTCGAAGGCGGTCTGGGCGGAAGGGATGGTGGGTGGGGGTGGGGGAGGGGCCGGGGGAATGTAGTACTCTGGGATGGTGGAAGGCTGCCCACTAATGAGAGAGAGAGACATCTGGCTTAGTACTGATCAATTTCAGAAATAATGAATCAGATCTGAATTATTGATTTAATTTCTGGGTCATTTACAGAAACATCATAAGACATGATTGTGTTTCCCTGTATTTACAGTAAATACATGAGATGTAATCAGTCAGGACAGGTTCTAATGTCAGATATGAATGATAGTTAATGTTTTCCATTGGCAATTTAATCAACTAGGGCAGGCATCACTAAATTCGGTCCTCGAGGGCCGCTGTCCTGCAGGTTTTAGAGGTTTCCCTGCTCCAGCACAGCTGATTTACATTGATAGTTCATTAACAGGCTTTTGCTGAGCTGCAATCATCAGAATCAGCTCTACTAGCAGAGAAACCTCTAAAACCTTTAGGAAAGCGGCCATCGAGGAACAACATTGGTGATACCTGAATGCTAATGTACATCACCGTTAGGAGCACAGAACCAAACACGACAGGGAAAACAATTCTGTCTGTTTCCTTGCTCTACATGGACTGAAAGGGAAACCAAATATTGAGAGAATGAAAAGCTTTAATTCCTCACTGTTTCTTTAAACAAAGTGGATGGACAGATATTGAAATTAAATCAAAGAAATTATGACATCTTGTTAACAATGTGAGTGGCTCTATCACATAAGCAGGCCTACCCGTGCCCAGCTCGGTAGTCCTTGATCGACTGCTGCCTCGGGCCATTGACTGTTGGATCTCCTCCAGCCTGGACGCCATGTGCTGATGGGGTCCTGCCTAGTGAGGCGACATGTCGACCTGGAGGTCCGGCTCCCGCAGCTCCGGGGGGCTGGTTGGCAGGCCTCAGGACACGGTCAAGCGACTGTGTCTGGGGGGTGGCTAGGTGATCCCTGGCATGGTGGTCAGTGGGATGGGGGGCGCTCGGGGCCTGGGTAACCGGGTGGTTAGGACTTGCTGGGTAGGAATCGGACGCCATTGATCTATCGGATAAAAGTTTGGGAAAAAAGCAAGGTTGATTCACATGTTTCTAAAAGTGACATTAAAAGCTTACAATCAACAGAAAGATAACATTGGACATCAATGAGAGGGACACCAGTTGCCTGGATTCCATAATATTTGGTTTTAATACACTTTAAATATTTGTTTTTCTAAAGATTTCATACAGCTATCTGTTTTTCCTCCAACAAGTGATGGTTTATGTCTTACAGAAGTATAATAGTGCTTATTTCTGAGGGAAAAAAACCCAGACATTGGATCTTTATCTACAGTCTCCAGAAGAGGGCACTACAGAGCTTCAAACAGAAGGAGCAGGAAGTATTTGATGCCTCACAAATGTAATAATAATATCTATTAATCTCCCCCACATTTTCTTTAGCTAACTTCTGAAGGCTGTTGGTTACAATGGATTTCACTTACTGGACAACAGAGCAGAATATATATTCCTTTCTAGGACTTTATGAAAAATAGAAAGGATGTAACTTTAATATTATTATTATTATTATTACACTCTATTCCACTTTATAGACCAATTCTTTTGGACCAATACTCTTGTTGGTCTATTACATAAAATCCCACTAAAATAAATTAAAATGTGTGGCTGTAACTAGGGCGGAAATAATTAAATTTATTAATCGGATTAATTGATTAATGAAATAATCTTCAACTAATTTAGTAATAGATTAATCGTTAACTGGACGATAGAAACAAAAAACATGCCATGTAAAAAAAAAAAAAAAAAAGCAAAGAAAAATGTTGCATTTAATATAATTCTTCTGGCAATATGTTCTACCAGAGCTCCTCAAGTGGAAAACTTCTAGTTTCACCTGGTTTAATTCTCTAAAAATCTCCTAAAAACTCAATTTAAATGAACAATTAAACGTGTGGTTGCGTCTGGACACAACAAAGAAACAAAGACCTTAGAGGTCCTGCTGACTTGGTTTGGAGTGAGCTCACACTCGTGTGTATGTACCTGCTGTCTGGGGACAGGGATCCTTCAGAGGACATGCCGTGGTAAGGGGAGGGGGTGAGCCTGGCATCGGGTCTGAACTCTTTGTCGTAGGCGAGGACGTTCCATTCCTGACGCCTGTTACGAGCCTTACGCACCTGCAAGGGTGAAACAAGAGGGGAAGAATATGGACAATCTGTATAGTTATAACCTTATGGTTTTATTTTAAATGAATGGTGAGTTTTAATTCTTATGGTTGGAGACCGACATACATCTATTACTGTTTAATAAATGTTCTTCCATCTTCTCTCTTCAGAAGTTTGTCAGGTTCAAGAAATTATTAGGTTAATATTTTATTTTGATATTATATCAACCACATTAGTCTTGTTAAAGGCATCTTGTTTCAGATTTAAGGTTTTAATATCAGGAAGTGGTCTTTACCTGGTTCTAAATACACTAACATCGTGCCCAAATTGAGCTACATAAATTCAATAAGCTCAATACTTAGTAGAGAAAATTCAAGCTAAAAGGTTTATTAAATTAGCCACTCCAAAGAATTCAGCAGTTCATACAGACACTTTTAATCATTTTAATAACATTTTATATTTTTGCATTCTGGGCATTGTTTTATATTTTCTTGAGTCAAATACTGTATGTTTGTCAGACTTGCCTGTTACAGTGAAGCATTCAAGGATGCCTTAAATGCCATTTGTGTCACAAATTTGGCTTTTTATTAACAAAAATCTAGTATTGCTTCAATAACACATATACAATATACATATTTTGTGAAAGTCTTATAACATCACATCATGAGTGATATCATTCTCATATTTTAATTTGAGTAGTTTATAAACACATAGAGTGTGATGCACACAATAGGAGGCGCCATATTGGGGTGCCATTTTTGATCAGAGTAGCCAAAAGGGGACCAAATTGTCAGCCTTACATATCTTACCTATAACTGAAAACCTCTTGTCGGTGGGAGAGCAAAAAATGAGCAAAATCAGCACTTTATATTTCTGCCTTCTATTGCAATGTCAATCATCCGCACTCTTTGTCCAGTAAAAGGCAAGAGAAAAGAAACAAAAAAATAAAAAATAAAAAAGTAATAATTCGGATGAAAAGAAAGTCTACACCAGTGCAGTTTTTACCAGGTGGAGACACTTTATGAGTGAGCAGGGATTAAAAAGGGAAACGGATAATTCTGTTATATTTTGGGGGTGATGGCTGGTTTGATTGCTCCGTTCATTCACCTGTCTAACTCTGCCCTGTGTCTCATCACTGCTCATCTGATCCACCTGTTCCTGCTCCTATTTAGGCTACCTGTTTCCAACCATCAGTGCCATATTATTAGAGTTTTATAGCGTACCCTGTTGTGTTTTGACTGCCTGATCCTGACCTTTTTTTGTATTCTTACTTTTGAGCCTGCCTGCCCCTTTCTGATCTGTTAGCCTGTTCTGTCTTCGGACTCCTGTTGGATTCTTCTGTTGACTGAACCTGGATCTTCCTCTTGACTTCGCCCTGTGGATTATCCTGCCCTCCATTGTCTGTTCGGGTCTGATCTCCTGTCAGTTCTATGGCCTTCAATGCTTTCACGTCTGGGACTATCTGGCAGTGTCCGCTGTGTCTTTTCTGCTGACCGGCTGGACTCATCCTTGTTCTCTTGGCACGGACTGAGCTTTCAAACCAGGTTAGAGACTCATGCGTTCATAATCATCCTCCGTCAGACTATCGTGGTCACTAACCTGTGTTTCTCTTCTATAGATGTTCCTGTTATGTTCCTGCCCATACCGCAGATTCACAGCCCATCTTTAAATAAACGCCTTTAAGTTATTCCTCTGTCTGTCTTGCCTGAATTCTGGGTCCTTCTGTTCAGAGTCTTGACAGTTTCAGGCTTTAGGCTGGACAGGTAAGGTTATTCAATATAACGGTGAAGTTTAATTAGGCATTATATTTGAAACCAAGAACTAGACTGTGCCCCTGGCAGAGACAGCTAGTTTATTTATCCCACAATGGATAAACTCCGATGACACAGTTATCAGCTGCTGTTAGTTTTCACAGAAGTCAGACCAGCTAATAACCATGGGTTTTTTTCAAAGTCCTTATTTCAAAGAAATATTCTGTGTTTCATTGTTTATTCAGCTGATTTGACAAGGCTGATGGAGGTTGATGTGTTGGAAGCAAGGTCAGAAGAGGAGAATGTCCCTTCTCAGCTTCCGTAGTAGGTCTCACAAACTGGCAGGTAGGCACCAGTCTGTCGTTTGTGAATTATTCATTTCAACAGTAGGTGGACTTACATCGTACACACTGTCCACAGGGTAAAAGGGATCCTTGGTAATTTGTGTGCTGTCTGTTTCTACTGTTTTGAAAAGCTTTGGAAAATGTATTGGTATCAGCTTATTGACAAAAGGAGAAGTTTTGAGGAAAACTGCACCGAAAAGTGAGTGCAGAGGGTGGCAGTAATGAAAAACCAAAGGTTAATCAAGCAAAACCTGACAGAGAAGCCCTTATCTCCCCACCTGTGAAAATAATAAAACACGTAGGAGAGGACAGATCTGGAATGTCTTCTTCCTTTGAGCCCCTTTTAATAACAAAAAGTATTAAATATTTAACCTTTTTCAAGTAAAAACCAATAACATATAGATCCTAAATATTATGGGTGAGCCATACAAGAGATGGTCCACTACTTATAGCTGCAAAGCACATGACATCACCTCTTAACCCTACCATGGTAATCTATTTGTCTTACTCCAAAACCAGAACCTTTCATCCTGGTAAGTGTGGACAAGGAAATTTAAATGACTTGTGTTAACAATCCTGGGTAATGGTAGCCTCGTGAGACCATCCTGATCTTGCGAGCTTTCAAGATTTCACTCGCTAATCAGTCTGGAGACTCTCCGTTGAAGAAAATTTGTAGCCGATTACCAAACGAACGTCGAATCAGCGTTGGCTTTGAGGCGGGTTGAGGTGTTACGCAACGAGAAGCGCAACAGTTCAGTCTGAAGAACATGGCGGCTTCAGCCGATGAAACTAGCGTTAGCGTGGCTATCGAGCAAGTTTTATCGGAATTACACTGTAATTCCACTACTCTGGAGGCTTTTCTCAGAGGAAAAGATGTTTTTGATCTTCTCCCGACTGGTTTCGGCAAGAGTTTGATCTATCAATTGGCTCCTCTTCGTCGTCGCTCTGTTAGTACTTCATATGCTTCGTTGATCTGATTGGTTTATTTGGCCCGTCTATCACCAACATAGGCCAATCAGCTAACCAGTATTTTCGCCCTTTCCCAAAATTGCTTCAACAGAAGGTTTCCAGATGGATATGCAGAGCAAATCCATCTGTCGGAGTCAGGTTAGGGTAATGGCTTAAAGTCTCTGAAATGAAAAAGGGGCCAAAGACGCAGGTCCTGTGGACGCAAAATAAGGAAAGTCCTCTTGCCTGCACCAACATGCTTCAAAGTTTCTAATGTTTTTTGTTCTAATTTAATGTGTTTGTTTTTCAGATAATGCCATAAAATGTTGGTGCTGTCCTATATTTAGAAAAAAAAAACCATCTTTACTATTGTCTTACCTTCCTGGTATTTCTTTAACAGCTGTATGTTAACAGTTGGAATTGAGCATGGGTTTACAGTACTTTTCAATTGCTCTACTCAGTTACAGCTCAAACTGTACGAAGAAATCGAAGGGTTTGAAAGTTCACTGCTTACCATGCATGTTTTTACACTATATGGCCCAACCCTCTGATGCGATCTGCCTGCTCACACTGGACGTGCAAAAGCCACACATTGGACTCAGTGCCGAGAGATGGCGCTGAGTCTGGAAGGAAGAAGAAGAAGAATTTCCTTGTCTGCACATGTGCAGTGCTTGAGGTTCTGGTAAATCGGCTCGTAGAGCTGCTTCAACAGCAGGAATTGCCCGTGAACATTTTCTCCCGACCTTACAATTCCTGATCGAGAGGTGGTCGTGAAAAAATTATATTTGCCCCTTGTTACCTCTTGTATACTACAAGGCGCACAACGAGGCTGAAACTCCGCCGAAAAAAATTCTCCCACGACTGGAGAATCGGGCCGAAAAGGGTAAAAATTCGTACTGTGTTGCCCATCCTAATAGATAATGACCGGGTAAATTCTGTTGAGTGAGATCATGACTTTGAAAAGCAAAGTTAAGGGATGATTTTATAGTTCTAAAAGGAACGTTGTTACTGACCTTCTTGACCTCTCTGCTTGGGTCTTCCACCTGCCTCTGCTGCTCCTGTGGAGGACAAAATAACCAGACAAACAGCAGCAGAGAGAAACTCAGTCAAGGATTGTTTGCTTTTATCACATAGAAGGAAAGCAATCTGGATCCCTTTAACCATCTATTTCATCACACTTAGCCAAACACACATATACACAGACTGGACTACTCACTACCCAGAACACTACTGTACGACACGACTAACACACGGCGGACGACGGAGCCAAAAATGGGTGGTAACACAACAAATCAAACCAAAGCCAAACACAGGAGGTTAGAGAGAGGGCGGGGTGGTGAGATAACGTGATAGTATGCACACGCGCACACCCAGACGGGAACGGGCACGTGTGTGTGTGTTGGTTTTTTTTCTTCATACATGAATCATGACTTTGTTTTTAAATAGTCCTGTTCCTTTTGAGTTACTATGTGAGTGCTCTGTACCTGTGTGTAGACCTACTTCATTAGAGGTGATTGCATAATGTGTTTTAATGGAGTGTGAGGGCAGGAAGTGAAGGGCAGGAGGGGTGGGGTGGGGTGGGGGGATTAGGGGTCTGGGTCGCCTTACAGAGATGGACAGGGGGCTCCTGGGTGGGGCCTGTCGGGAGTGGGGCCTGTCAGGGTGGGCCGGACAGCCCTATGGAAACATGGGAGAAAGACAAGCTGGTGCATTAGACTGAGCAGAGGAAGAGGAAAGAGGAAAAGCATCTTCCAAGACCAGCCAGCTACAGATGACTACGAGAAAGGAAGGAGGCACTGAGGGAGTAAAGGAGACCAAGGTCTTTGGCAGCCCCCCGCAGTTTCTTCATTTAAACCTGCTTTTTTTTGTTGCTGTTTTTTTAATAAAGTAAAAGCTTCATGTGAGGTTCAAAAATGTTACATTGCAATGAGTACATCACACAAGGAAGGAACATAAAAAGATGAAATAAGAATTAAAGTTCAACAAAAACATTGACATAAAGCAGCAAACACATACAGCAGCAGCTGTTCTGACATAAAACAATTTCATTCAGCCTGAAATCTGAGGAAAATACCATCAGGGACAGAGGTTCAACTCAGCAGGGATTAGACTGAAGGATGAAGAATTTCTATGGATCTCATTCAATATCCATGTGGTCATACAGTAAGGGTGTAAATATTAATCGTTTTATATCCAAGAGCCGACGATCCAAGAGCCGACGATCCGATGCATCGATACGTCCGCAAGATAATTGATTCATGTTTTTTTCTTCCTCAGGTCTATTTTTATCCATTTGCTCCTGGCCGTAATTCTCCCTCCCATCCTGCGGTGGCGCTAAACCTATTTTGCCCTCCTACCTCGCTTCCTGGTTATACTCTTACAGCAGTGTGTTGCAGTAAGCTTGACACAGACATTTTTTATTTATGCTAAATATTGAAGTGCGGTCTGTGCTACACACTGTGGGTCTAGATACGGCCGAGGCGGAGAGGAAGTGGGGCGAGTTTAGTCCGACGACGGAGGGACATGAGGGCCAAAAAGAGCGGAGATCCAGGTGGAAAAAGGATCCCAGCGTTCTCGCGCACCTACAGTAGCGGGTCAAACTTTACAAGTTGTTTTCCGCAATTCCGGTCATAAAAACAAAAGAAGCCGGCCTCCTGTTTGTGGCACTGTCTGCGGTCAGCTACAATTTGGGAGAGGAGCAGCGGAGTGTCTGCGGAGGGGGCGGGGACGTCTGGAGCCGAGGTATTGCATTGCACTCATTGCACTGATTTTGTGCAGTATTTTTTGATGCAACTTTTCTACTTCTGTTTTTTGCTGTTGTTTCTCAAAAAAATTCATAACAATATTACAGCTTTGATTGATTTATTTCAAATTTGAAACATTGTCTAGCCTGTAAGGTGTAAAAAAAAACAATGAACCAATTAATCGAATCGTATCATGGTGTATTCTTGAGTATCGAAAATAATCGAATTGTTGGGTCAGGAAATCGATACTGAATCGAATCGCCATGATGGATGTGATTTACCCCCCTATCATACAGTAGCTATGCTTCAATGTAAATAATTAATATGTAACATTTATTAAAACCACAAAAATATGTTTTTCTCCATGTTTTTTTTCCCCTTCAATATACTGCAGATGTTTCCAAATGTTTTACCAGTTGGTCTAAAATAGCAGAGCCAGAGACCAAAGATCCCCCTATTTGAATCCCCTAAAACACTATATGTTTATGCATCTACTAAATAAAGATAGAGGAACTTATCTAAAAACATTTAAATTTAGTCTTAGTCATATTAATTTGCATTTTATGGCATATTCAGTTATATTAAACAGAGATATGGCACATTCAGTTAGTGAATTGCATATTTAATGGTCCATTCATGAATCTAATAGTACATTTATTATATTTCTTATAGGACATCTACATTTATGTATTTCATTACAATATTTATATATTTATTTAATTTAATTTTGTCCATTTTGGTCCTCCATACATCACAGCTGCCAATGTAGGGGCCCTTCCTGTACAAAATGTGAAATGCTTACCAACCTAACTCACTAAATGTAGTTTAACCCATCAGCAGCTAAATTGTTAAAAATTAGAATTCAACTGGGCATTGCAACAGGAAAATAATCCTCAGAACAATTAAAATATAATTTTTGTCAAGGAGGCTTACGGCTGGGATCTGAACTTAATAAACAACTACTTAAGATCAACTCCACCAATTCTGACAGGAAGAGCAGTTAACCATCATGGCAATCTTACAGAACATGCAATGGATTATTGCTAGAGAAATAACCTGGTCAAGGTGTGACTCGGTATATCATCCATATTTTATAGATAGATTTAAGCCTCTATATAAAAATTTTCTCTATTTGTTAGAAAATGTAAACCTCAGTACAGAAGCGTAATGCATTAATAAAAAAAAAAAAGTCTGTTTTTCTGATGTGATAATGTGGCTGTGATTTAAAATTGGATTTTCTGATGCATTTTAGATTTTAAGCAAGAGATGCCTTTCTGCAGATTAACATTGTTCATTCGGAAAAAAAACAGAATGTTTATATATAATTTTTTTTTAATAAAGCTTTATCTCGTTAGTTTAGAAAAACAATGTTTTGATTTATTTTTGTAAAAAAAAATTTCTGGTTAATTCGAAACAACAAAATTTTTTTTATGTTATCCTGCTAATTCAGAATAAACATAATGTTTATATATATCTTTTTTAATAAAAATATCTTGTTAGTTAATCAAAACTGTACATTTTAATTTAATTTAGCAAAACTTATCTTGTTTATTCAGAAAAACAGAATGCTTTTATTTTTTTTAATAAAGTGTAATCCTGATAATTCAGAAAAAAACTGAATATTTATATATATTTTTGTAAAACTTTATCTTGTTAGTTTAGCAAAACAGAACATTTTAATTTATTTTTGTAACACCTACTTGTTAATTCAAAATAACAGAACATTTTTATTTTTTTAAATAAAACTTATCTTGTAAATTCATAAAAACATTGTTTTTTCAGGTGAATCCAATATGTTTCTGTACCTTGGCATTCAACTCATTTAAAAAACTTATTGAAGGAGTTTCAACCCAAGAAAAAATATAAATTATTAATCAACAAATAGAGACATATTTACTATTGTCTTATCTCAATAAGTATAAGCAGTATAATCTGTTCCTATAAACTCTGAATATTTCCTAACAAACAGTATCCCTTAGCTGCTGCTGTATTCAACAGAGCAAAGCTGGATGGGTAGAACATTAAGATAAGAAAGCATGAACTCAAATAACAGCAGAAAATGACACAAGTAGGCAAAATATAACAAATAGGCAAATTAAAGCAGAGGATGGATTTGTTTCTTTTCCCTTTTCTATAACACATTCTCCTCCAGCTCCACACTGCCACACCAACTGTACATTCATAACTAAAGTAAAGCTGTACATGCAAAAGGACTATACTGGAACACACATGGAAACAAATGCCTACCTTCTGTCTCCTCTTCTCTTTGCGTTTGTCTTCAGTGGCCTGCAGCATTTTCTCCTTCCACAGGTTGAAGAAGTAGGACGGATCGGTGTAGAACTTCAGCGCATCCTTCTTGTCATCCCTTAGAGGAAAGCGGAGCAGGCGTGGAAGAAGGAAAAAGTAAGTACCACAAAAGAAAGACATGTTTAAGTCAATTGCTGATATTAAACCATGTCCAAATATGAGTCACCTATAAGGGCTGAGGATGTTGAGCGGTGGAGGCTTGTCACAGCGGTGATACATCTCCACCACAGGGTTGGGAACAGAAGTCCTGGAAACCACCTGCTGGTCTTGAATGGTACTACTCTTAAAAGCTTTTCTCATATTGATGTCCTGCAGGGAGACTGAAAGAACAAAGGATACAATATGAATGAGGATTGGGTTAACTATACCTATGTTTACCTCCGCAAATTCCCCAATACAATCTAAATCTCAGTTGGACGGGAATTCTAAATCTCTGTTCACAGGGACACTAAATAAAATGATCCGATCATGATGTGTGGTTACATGTTCCAAGCGTTCGATCAGATATATCACATTTTTAGTTTTCTACAAACACTTTAGTAGTAGAAAAAGAAATTGCCTGTTTTGTAAACAAACCCATAATTGTCCATTCATCCTCAACTTTAGCTACTCTTTGTGCCTGCCCCACAAATTTCTGTTTTCTTCGGCTCATCAGTCATATCTGTTGATGTTTTTTTTCTATTGTTGACATTTGTCGTATCATACTTTTTTTTCTCTAAGCTGTCAACACGACACTAGAAAACACAGCTGTTTACGAGTTTTTCAAAGCCTTTTCATGCCATCCAAGAGCAACAGTCATTTCTCACCCAGAGTTTTTTTTTTTTGATAGTGGTGCACTCGAAAAACAAAAATGTCTTAAATTAAGTTTATTCACCCTTAATTTGAGCAGGCAAGGCAAGGCAAGGCAAAGGCAAGGCAAATTTATTTGTATAGCATAGCTTTACATGATTAAAATATAGGAAAATAAAACAGAATCAAAGCAAGTAGGAAAGAAAAAAAAAGAAAAGAAAAAATTCAGAAACAAAAAAGAAAATGGGATAGTTTGCCAATTGAATGAGTATTTTTACTCTTAAAATATCAGATAAAAAGCACTTGAAATAAGACAATGCAATTGTGTTTTCTTATTTCAAATGTAAATTGTCTTGTTGCATTGGCAAAAGGTCTCTTTTATCTCCTAAATCAAGAACAAATGCACTTATTTTAAGAAAAAAATTACTTATCTAGATTTCGATGTTTTCCAGTGTGATATTTATGGGCCGAATCATGGGAGGTCTGTAAAATGTTTACATTTGCAAACAATCGCCAGTAGGATTTGTTGCTCGCTTTCCGTGTTTTTAGGCACAGAGCACTCCGTGAGGTCATAAAATTTCCTAGATGCACGATGTGAAAATAAGTCTATATGGAGGGCGTGGAAGCTCCAAATGACATTATTTTGCCATGCAGAGTTTGCAGACATGTCAAGGAAGAACCTTGCTGAAGCCCCTGTGATGTTAACCTGTTTATGAGACAATTCAGAGGTCTGTTATATTCCTAAACTCTCTCGCCGAAAAACCACATTTACATCTTTTATGCCACCTAATTGGTGACTGTCTCTCTCCGTTCTCGATCTTATGGCAGGACCAACAGCTTTACCACAGCCCAAAGTAAGGCGACTGGCGTCACTCTCCACACATCTATCAAATGCCCCACTCATGATTCAACATAGACTAGTTTGGGATCTTTGATGTTTCCGACATTGTAAAGCAAGAAATAAAAGTGCAAAGAAAACCTTTATCAGAACATGAAAGGAAGAGAAAGCATGAATTGGATAAGGACAGGGCTCGCACAAGTGGACAAGCTGTGGACCTGAAAGAAAAACAATGATGCAAAACTGAGGCAGACCTGGCAGTGCTGTTATTGGGCCTGCATGCCCAATATATGTTAACCTCAACGCAGAACTATACATGATCTGCCATATGACAGATGGGTGGGATCAGTCCTCACAAGGCCAGAGTGTAATCAGGTTAAACCACAAACAGCATAATTAATGTTCCAATCAGTGATTTAATAAGTGAAAAGCTTCTATGTGTGCAGGGGGGAACAGAAAAGTTTAAACTCTAAATGCAGACGTGCTTCGTAAAAGCAAATATGGCTTGATCTAACTGTGTGTGAGTGTGTAATTTTGCACTGAAGGCATTTTACAGTCAGACCAGAGTTTGATCAATGCCTCCTAAGCCTCTGTCCCAGCGGCCAAATGAATAATCCACTGCAGCAGAAGCCAGTGCAACTTTGATTTAAACACCTCTTCAAAGAGAAGTCTTATTCTCTCTCTTATTTCTTTTCTTACTTTTTTCTGTGGTTATGCATGCTCTTGTTCTGTATCACTTGAAGTACTGCATCCTTATTAAACACTTTTTTGCAGTCCTTACAAATATCCTAAATAGAGTCGTTGGAGGAGTGTTCAGGGTTCCTACAGCATAAGGCAAGTTAAATTCAAGACTTTTTAAGACTTTTTAAGGACCCGCGGGAACCCTGGTGTTTGACAAAACTTTTGCAAGAGTGGTAATCAGAGAATGGATTGCTGTTTTTTTTAAACTATTATTCATATTTTCACAAGCCAATGAAAAAATTAATTTGAGATCTGCTCCTCCGAAGATAGATCAGTGTTTGGCTTCTAAAAAAATGCTTTTACTATACTTATACTTATACTTATACTGTATATTTTTTTTAAACAAGTGAAATAATTGATACACTATAGCAAGAAAGGTTCGAATTCTAGGCTCAATCTTAATCTGCCAAGTCAATAATCACACTTAGACCAAAAGCAAAAATGTGTCTCAGCGATTGCCATGATAGAAAGAGAAAGCAGTTTGCTTCTTATCGATGGTTTATTCAGCATAGGGACCACCCTACGTTCTTATCCAACACTTTGGAGCTATACGGTTTCCCACAATCCTTTACTCTGCCATGAATGCAAATCTTCATATGTTGTGAGTTTTATGATGGTGAGCTTCAGCTATTTATTACATTTGAGCAACTTTTGTATTTTTGTAGTTCTTTTTGAGAAGGTTGTAGTCCCTAGTAGCCACACAATACCCTTGTGCTTTTCTTTCATGCAATTACATCTATACGGCTGCAGCTAACCGGATTCAACAACAGTTCTGAGTTTCTTTCCTTCCCACAATAGTGATCTTACTGTTCACACACAGATATTTAATTCATATTTGAATGTGATCTTTAATGTCAAAATTCATCAGTCAGGAAGCAACAGAAACAGACTTTTAATAATAATAATAATTGAACTTTATTGATCTCACATTGGAAAAATGTATCTCTGCATTTAACCATCGCCTTGGGGAGAAGTGGGCTGCCATTGTGCGGCGCCCGAGGAGCAGTCAGGGGTTAAGGGTCTTGCTCAGGAACCCAGTATGGAGGCAGTGGGATTCAAACCGGGTACTTGCAAACTTCTCAGAACACAGGAGCCCATCTCTAACCCACTAGGCTAACACTCCACATTCAAATGAAAAATTTAGGCACAGTGTTGGAAAAAGGGACTCAAACATAATTTTCAGACTTGATTTGAACCTGGGTTGATAAACTTTAAGGTCAGCCCTACTGTACAGAACTGCAGCACATTTTTTGGTGTGAGATTATGCTGCAGCAATAAGAGAACGTATTTTAAGGCTTTTTACAGCTAGGGTGATGGTTTTTAACCTGACTTAGTTTAATATAACACACTTGAAGTGAATGTGACATAACAGTTTTAATTGTTACATAACAGCAACACGTCTAACTGTATTTGCTGTTCTTCCTTAAACATCTTTCCATTGTTTTTGTATTCTCTCTTCTAATGCCATACTTAGTCATTGTATTCACTTTAATAGTTCTATTTTTTTCCACATTACCCCATTTCCTCATTGAGAAAAGAGAAGTTATCAGTGTTGCCATTTCCCAAATGAGGTGGAAAATATTAAAAAGAAAAATGGAAAAAGGACACCAGAACACAGTAAAAGTGAAATGCATGTGATAGGTCACTTTTATCATGGAGATGCTGACAGGACTAAAACATGACAATCAAGAGGACTTAGGAATGGATTGTAAGCAGGAAGCAAGAGATGAAAGACTAAACAGGTGAGGAGGAATGGGAGGGGATGATATAATAAGATGGAAAGACTGCTGAGGATTTATTTTTTCATCTCCATCTGTGGGGCTGTGACACTGAATGTCTGAGGCTGCTGTGCTGCAGAATGACTCGGCAGAACCAGCAAAGAAGAAAATAAATTAGCGCTAAAAGACAGGAGAGAGATGCAGTGAGAAAATAGGATAATAAAAGTGAAAAAATGAGCAAATAAAACACAAGATTTGCCTTTTATCAAAGTTTATATCAGATGTGATAATAATGACATCATGAAAACAGCACAGGCTGTTTCACATTATCCATATTGTTGGTGCAAAATCACTGAAAAGCTGTTTTTTAAGATTGTAATCTCCTCTTTTTATTGCAACTATTGTTTTATTAAATTATCAACAGTTTAAGACAAAGAGTAAACACCAGGGCTATAACCAGAGGAGACTGCAATGTTCAGCGGCTCAGGATCAAATTTGGCCAAATGGTTGCATCCATCAGAGGAGCACAGTCATGGAACAAACTGCCAGCTCATGTTTTTAAATCTTTGTTGAAAACTAACCATACATGTGTTCACAGGTGAATTAGTATGTTTCCTTGCGCCTGTTATCCTGATTTTATTGTGATTTTATGTTATTGGCATTTTATGTGGGATTTTATTTGGGAGTGTTGTCCTAGTGCTTAGAGCAGTAAGCTTGTGCTCTGAGAAGGTTGCAAGTACCCGGTTCGATCCCCTCAGCCTTCACCATGGGTTCCTGAGCAAAACCCTAAACCCCACACTGCCCCCCCAGGGGGATGGGTCGAATGCAAGAGTCAAAAGAGAGTGAATTTCCCCACTGTGGGACAATGAAGGGATTTCCACATTATACACATTTACATTTATCTGTTTGTGTCCACTCTGCTCTCTGTAAATGTGCATTGTTCTAATTCAAATAAATAAATAAATAATAAATAAGATCCTCTCTCTTTTACTTCATGAAATGGAAAATAAGTAATTTTTTCCCTCATCTTACAAAAAATAAACTTACTTTACTTAAATTTCTGTTAACGTATCCCTCTTTTTTTATTTCAGTGAAACATTGTACTGGTAACTTAACATGTATTAGATTTCTGTTTCTATCTAACTGTATTTTAACTTTAACTTTTTGTAGTGTCTTCACAACTCTGCATATTACACTTTTCTCTACAGGACTGACCAGATGATTTGAGATGTAGTCACCTGAGGAGCTTATCAGATTTCAACTGCACCCACTACCACCTGTTTAGCTCTGCCCCTGCCCTATATGTGCCAAATAATTTAATTCAATGTAGTCTATCTATATAGCGACAATTAACATGTCATCTCAAGTCACTTTAAAACTCACCAGATCATGCAGTAAGATCGATTCAAAGTTTATTTAACAAATAACAGCTGTAGCTAAGCAGAAATAGCTAACTGTAATAGCCAACTGATTTGAATTCAAGTATTTGACGCTCGACAAAAGGCTCATAAATCGCCATTTAATGAACTGTCTCTAGCAATATACTTAATCAAATAAGTGCAACGATAAATCTTCATGTATAACTGCGCTAATATAACCAGCTTTCAGCAGGGCCTAATGATTTACAGTCTGACTTACCTATAACCAACCTCGGGCAATACACGTCTTCTTAAAGACACAACAGTTAAAAAGGTATGGGCTTTTTAAAGACGGATGAAAAACGACAGTTACATCGTACACTCAAGCACTCTTGGGATACGCAAACAAACAATCCAGGCATGTCCAAAGTTGGTTCTCAATGGCCGCTGCGCTGCGGGTTTTAGAGGTGTCCCTGCTTTCAGCACAGCTCTGATTAACAGGTTGAACTGCACTCATCAGTATCAGCTGTGAGGCCCAGTAACATCCAAAACCTGTAGGACAGCGGCCCTCAAGGACTGACCTAGGACATGCCTGATTTAATCAGTAAGGTGACTTCTAACGGAAAGTTGCAGCATATAACTTTATTCAGGTATATCAGAATAAAAGGGACTTACAACAAATACTTTGAATATTTTCAGTGGGGTAAAATCTACATAACTGTAACCCACACAAAGGGGTTTGCTATTGGGGAAAGCACAGGCACACCTAGACCTACAAACAAAAAGAACACTAAAGCTAAAATGCAAATTACTATACACCAACACTCTGATTAACACCGACACAGAAGCAATGCCTGTCCTCGAATGCTCGACAATGAATCACAATCGCACATCGGGGGCTGTTTGGAAACCAACCGTTGCAATGCCCTGGAAGCATGACCTTTACAGAGTCACAGACACGCATACCTTCCTCCACAGTGGAGTCGAGCTGAGTGACTTTCACGGCCAGCAGGTCCACTCTCTCCTGCAGGCTGCTCATCCGCAGGTAGAAGCTGTTGGCTTCATTGAACAGTTCTCCAAAAATGTCTTCAGCATGGCGACCTGTACAGAAGTAAAACCGACATGTTAGACTTTCATCTGATTCTGACATTCTGTCCTTCACATCCTCAACATATTAACATGTGCTTTAAACTAGCATTTACTTCAAACATTTGCCAACTCACCAGAACTCTAGATCTAGTAACATTGACAGCTCCTCCCAATGGTGGTCTGTTTTCTGTTTTATTCATAGAGTCCTTGAATCTCAATCTAATGAAATATTTACACATCAATGATGCCCTTTTTATAACCGGCATGTGGACTTTGTTTAAAAGCATTCTAGGATGGACAATATGATCTTCGTAAAAGCTTAGAGATGGCTTACTTTGCTTAGTTCCGGTTTTTCAAAGGGATCAAAAAGAGGTCTCAGCTAACAAGAGGCAACTGTCCATCACACCTTACCAGCACATGAAATGCACTCAGACCCTACACCAAGCAGAACCTTAAAGACTAGCAAGATTTTAACCAAATTTCACCAAAATGACAGCGAATTTACCAATTTACCCAGTACTGGTTTAAGATTTTGGGCAGCAGCTTTATAAGTTGCTGTGGTTTGAGTTTATGACAAAGAGAAATATATATCTTCACAGTGATCTATTCTAAAAGCAATATCCAGGTTTTGAAGTTTTTTATTGTGCGTAGGTTTAAAAGTGATTACAATTTTTTTATAGTCAGAGACTTCATTTGGTCAATGAAATTGATGCCCCTGCTCAAAGCTACACCTACATCTGAAGCAAGATGTCATGATGTTGGCGCTGATGTCTGGTTGATTACTCATTGCATCCACATGCTTATCTCTGCGCAGTTCTCATTACCGCTAATCTGATCCACCTGCTTCGGTCTCTATTTAACCAGCTTTCAGACCAGTTATCAGTGCTGGATTATTTTGAGTCTTTGGAGAGAGTTCTCTAGCATTCCTTCAGCTGTGATTGCCTGGTCCTGACTCATTCTGCCTCTGGACCTCTGAGTCTGCCTGACCTGTTTTCATACTCCTGACGGATTTCTGCCTGTCTGTGAACCAAACCTGGAACTGTTTCCCAAATCTGTTCTGGATTCTCCCTCTGCACCTCACTGGATCTCTGACCTCCTGGCTCTGAGCTACCGAGCACGTCTTCGACATCGGCTTTGGTTTCGCCCTTGTATTATCCTGCCTACCTTCGTCTGCTCAGTTCTAATATCCTGCCTGTCCTCCGACCACCAATACATCAGCATCTGGCACTTTCTCTGCAGCAATGGCTGCATCCTGTTGGCAAGCAAACAACCGTCTGGAACCAACCTCACCCTCTGGGCTCTGACTTAGTTATAAGACCAGGTGACGGACTCACACGTTCGTTATCATCCACCTCAAGATAGATGTGGTCACTAACCTGCTGTCTCTACCCAGAGAGGCTCCTGCCTTAGACGGCAACGCTGCACACTGCGTTTCTGTTTCTAATAAACATTTTGAGAAATCTGTTTGCCTGCCTCGAACACTGGATTCTATTGTTCAGAGCTCTACACAAGAAGCGTGATCCTAAGCTTCACTACCCCTCCAGAGTAGGAACAAGAAGACAAGGACTTGTTGTCTTTTCAGGATTAACATGAGGTAATGCTGAGCCATGCACTCATTCATCCAAAAGACCAGGCCTCATTTAAATATTTTTTGGGCTAAACCTGGTCGGTCCACCGTAGTCTTCATTTAGTCCAGATATAGTTGTTTAAAATTGAGCTGCGTGGTCTGATTTCACCCAAATGTAGAGGTTGTTTGGACGCATACATGATGTCTTTTCATTGCCTTTTTTGCTCGGCTAGTTAGCATTATCGACACACTGCATGGGCAATGGAGAGAAAAATATGATCAAGTTTCATCATCATATTGGGTGATAGCTGTTATTCCACTTCTTAATCCAAGATTATGGCAGAATAGAGTTATTAAACAAAAGTGGCCCAATTACAGTTATCGTTCTTTGCTGAAATTTGGAAACTGATGCACATGTTAGGCTTCCACTCATATGCTCTGAACATCTTCAGTGAACTTTAAAGTGTTTCGAAATGTGGAAAAAAAAGTATAAAATATAATTTAGGAATGTCTCTATAGGCTGGTTTATAATAAATTAACAATGCTATGCTAAGTGTAATTTCTTTTGGAGTTGAAGTTACACATGGCTGTAATAAGCAGAGCCTTCAAACCAGCAGAATCAACACATCTCAGATAGACGGAGGGATTTTTTTCAGGAGTGTTCTCTTGTAGACCAAGTTGTAACTGTAGGCTGTCATGTCAACTAGAATTTGTGATGTTACATGCTAACTAGAGAAAGTAATGAAATTCTTTTGATGCAAAAACCACCATAAAAAAAAAAAAACAAGACAGGAAAATACTGACAATAGAAACACCTGATGAAATTTATAAGGTCAATGTTTGCTACGTCAAAACCTATTCAGCACTTAACTTATTCATGTATTACGACTCCTGTTTAGCACATTGACTGGGCTAGGAAAAAAACGCAATTATTGGTTGTTGAACTACCAGAAAATGCATGATCGTACAAAAAAAATTCTTAATCCTGATGTAACACATTATTTAAAGCAACCAAGAAAAAAAACAGGGTTGTTAGATGCACATTTTCCTGCTCCCCATCTGTCGTCTGTCTCTTCAAGACAGACACGCTCCTTGTTTGTAAAACCATAACTGGGAGCTTGGGATACAAATGCAAGCTTTACAAGGTGCTGGTAAAGATTCTCAGTCATCCAGATCATAGTCATTCCAAAAGAAAAAATAAATTAAAAACAATCAACTAGACTTTGATTCCAAAAACCTACAATGCAGCAATTGAGTTAATCCCTTCCCACTATCATCACAGCCCCTGTACAGGAGAGCGGAGGACCTTACCTATTCAGCCAGGCCAACAATTCCCTTTAACGACACCCCTTATAGAGACTTAGATGGGTGTGGGGCATTGCAGGTTAACAAAAGAAGCCAAACGACCCTGATTCCAAAGGGGTGGACCCGTTCGTCCGTTTAATTTGCATGTTTTCAGAAAAACATCAAGGTTTTGATGGACTACTGTATAAAACCTTGAACTTAACACTATTGCTGACATTTTGAATTGAAAAAGCTTCCTGGATGGGAAACAAAACGTCTTCAAACTTAGAAACAAAGTCCAATGGATTGTTTTTAATTTCCTTTTTTTGGAAGCTTTACCAGACTGCAGTCTTCTATTACTCCCTTTTTTCTGCATCTCAACTGCTCAGCTTCCAGTAAGACAGACAAAGTAAAGCCTTTACTCATTCAGACTGAGCCGGCAAACATTAAATCCTATAACCGTTAAACAGATTTAGAAAGCCATGATAAAATGCTCATATCAACTCAGCATTAAGTTTTGTTCTTGCCTTGAAGTTTTTACATTTCTAATGTACATTTCTAAATGATGTTTTTGAGAGAAGACCAGCAAAGCTCAATACTGTCACACAGTGTTGCGTAACTGAGCCAAATGAAGGGTACTTCAATTGCAGCAGATGATGGATGTGAACTGCACCAAGTACATAAGTGGATCAGTAACATTTGATACAGAGACTTTAATATTAGATTATAATGAAGTTATGAAGTGCAGACTGGAGACCAGGAAATGATTATTCTCCTTAGTAGAACTGAGCTGATCTCATTTCTTATACTTTCTAATATTGTATCCTGCATGTAATTAAACTGATTTAACTCCACATTTAAAACCTACTGACTTGCATTACACCAGTGACTATTTCCAAAAAATACAGGATTAGAACTTCTGAGAAAATAGTTTGAAAGCTTTTCTTTTTATTTGTTTGACAAGTAAAGAGTACAGATTAAAAAAAAAGTATTATCAATCTGATTCCAAGCAAAGCGGGCTTGCAAAAGACATGTTTGGAAAGATTAACGAGAACAAAATGTGAAAGAATTGCTCTCTATAAAGTGTAAGTATTTAGGTGAGTTCTGTGTACTCACTCAGGCTGCCCAGCTGTTTGATGATGGCCGCCAGTGTGCTGTTGGTGACGCACTCCAGTTCACTGGTCACCCCATCTGGCAGGGCCCCACGGCACAAGTGCCGAGGTTCGATGTTCCTCTTCACCAGCGGCATTCTGCTCTACGCCTGTAGATACAAACAAAAAAAGAAGGTATCAAGAAATGAGGCTTTGTTGTCTGCAAAATCTGCACTTTCTTCAATGTTTTTTTTTTTATAACTTTCAGCATTAAGACCTTCAAATGAACTGTTTCTGAATATACCTCCTTGAATCTTATCCAGTTATTAGTGTTAAAAGATGCCAATGTACCAACAGCATTTTCAGCAAACATGACGAATGAGGGGAAATGACTCTGGGTTTATTTGGTGGAAACGGAGGTGTCATGTCCACCGTGGGGCGCAGTCACTCATCATGCTGTTTGATGCCAGAGTGAGAGCCAGAAACTAAATGAGCCATAAAGAATATTCTAAATGGTGCTAATGAGCTTGAAACTGGGCAGAGAGACCGGAAGGATCTGACAATAAAAGAAGAGAGAATAGACAAGACAGTGTGTGTGTAGACAAGAGGTGCCGCTATAACAAAGCCATCCCACTTCCAGGACATAAAAGCGTCTATAAGCCCTAAAAAGCCCGGTACATGTATGAACTTCCTTTCTATAGAATCTACAGCTTCATCTGAAAGAAATTCAGTCCTAACATTTTAATTGACTAAATAAGTTCAAATAGAGGAACATACAAATATTCCATTCATTTAAAGTCAAATGTTATTTATTTAGATGAATATGGCTTACAGCTGATGGAAACCGAAATTCATTATCAGAAAATTTGAGTAATATTACATAAATCCTGTATCTGATGCTGTAGTCTTAATAATGGGTCAGTTTAGACAACAATTAGTGACTGTTATAGCGAGGAGGGTGAAACCACAAAAAGTCATTGATAAAGAAGCTGGTTGTTGGAAAAATGATGGGTAACACCTTAAAATAACCATCATATATAAATGGTAGAGACCATTTACTAATGCTAAACAGATATTTTTCAAATATTTGATAATCATATATAAACTACATCTAAGCCATGAATTAAGCATAAATAGGTAATATTGCCCTTCCATGTTAGTTTAGCCCTAACCTAACATCAATGGACTTAAGACCTTAATAAATGATCTATAAACTGTTTATAAATGGTAAAGATGAAGTTTATAAATGATTGTCAAACATTAATAAACTGTCTGTTAATCATGCACAAATGGTCTCTTTACCATTTATAAATTATGGTTTTGATCGTTTTTGTAAAATGTAACCAAATTATGGATCTATATATTTAGTGGAAAGTTAAGTGAAAGGAAGACATGTGAGAGAAAAGGATGCAGAAGCAAAATAAATGACTGAATTCACAGGATTGATAAGAAAAGCCTGTTTAAGAGTGTAGAGTGCTTGCTGTAGTATTGGTTTTCCAATAGTTTAAACAGGGTGGTTTAGTTTCCTTCTTTTAGAGTGGGAGATGGTATTCTAGGATGCAACAAGGTTGACAAAAACATTTTGCTTTTTCGTTTTTCTAATAACAAATAGTGACTACACAGTTTTGTTCACACAGGAGGTAGCACCACCTTTTTCTCAGCCTGTCCATATGCCTAATATATACTATATAACATGAACATTTCCATAGATGCATTGACAGAAAGCCCTTCAAAGACGCTTAGGCTAAACAGTCAAAATTTAGTTTAAAGTAGAAAGCTACAAGAGCCATATACTTTATCTAACTCTTTCCTTAATATTTCACCATTAAAATCCAGCTATGACTACATTTGGTTACTATTATTGAGACAAAATGGTCAACGTGTTGTTGCCCTTCAGCTACAGTCCGAGGAGTCGAAGAGTTCACATTATTCACCGATTCACACGCACTTTACCACGGGGATGTAAATGTAAATGAATGGGTGAATTTGTTAATCAGCACTGGCCTTACTCGGTAGAGGATCAATTCTATCCTGTTATCCTGATATTTTGATTGGTTAATAACCTTTTTTTATACTTACCGGCCCAGCCACGCTCCACTGCCCATCAACAGCTAAGCTGTAGAGGTGGTCAGTAGCCCCAAATTCCTGGGGATGCACATCACAGACAACATCTCCTGGACTATGAACACCATGAGGAGAGTCGTGAGGACAGCAGAGAGGATCATTGGGGCTCCTCTTCCCTCTATTAAAGAAATTTCATCCCAGCGCTGTGTGTCCCCAGCCCGTAATATCATCAGTGACCCCTCATACCCCCACCATGGACTGTTCTCCCTGCTCCCCTCTGGGAAGAGGCTTCGCTGGATCCGCTGCAGGTCCAGCAGATTCTGCAGCAGATTTTTCCTAATTTCCATCAGATTGTTAAAACTGTTCAACTCTAAACTAGACTCTGCATCACTTATTCACAGATTTGAACTGCATGGTCATTTTGTATGATTGTTTTGCGCTGCCAATTCTAATTTAAAGGTACACAGCTAAACATTTACTGCATTTTACAACATCATTATTGTGCACTGCCAGCATTGACTGTTTCAAACTAATGCCTTTTTTCTTTTTTTCACCATTATTATTATTATTATTATTATTATTTATTCTAGACACTTTTTCATGTAATTTTCAAATATCTATAAAGGATTAAATTCTGTACATGATTAATATGATAAAATGCTCTATAAATAGTTAAAAAAAGAAGTAAAACAGAATAAAATAAAATTTCAAAGTCAGCCGACTGGTGAGTTGTACTATTTTCAGAAAACTCTGAGGGCACACCATGTGATCCTTGAGGGCCCCTAAATGCCCGTGGGCACTACCTTGGTGACCCCTGCTCAATACTGTCTGGACTAGATTGCATCAATTTAAAGGTAGTTGGGTTTTTCTCTTTAGGTGTTTCAAAATCTGAAAACAAAAGGGATATTTTTGTTTTACAGTTTTATATTTTCCTACAACCAGAAAAAAGTAACACAGTCCAGGGAGAGACATATTTACTAAATCTATAGGAAAATGCTCTAGATGTAAACCATTTCTGGAATAGTCTTCTCAGAGTACTGGAAACAGAAGAATCGATTTAGACACTTATCCAGTAAAGGATGGTTGTGTATCATCAGTCAATCTGATTTTTTTTGACAAAGAGGTATTCAGGGTGATAATGTTAATAGATTAGATTTTTATTCTAAGGGGAACTTTTTAAATAGTAAAATGTCAAAGTTTGGCAAAGAACACAGACAGTAAAGTTAAAGCATTCTGTTACAGTTGTACAGTAATCTGACCTTTGTTCCAAACCCACTCTCCCACACTCCCTTGCTCTAATGGTTTCTGACATTTCATTATATTAACCACCACAGATGATGCTGCCATTTCTTAAGTATGTGGTTGAGCTTCCCTCTGAGCCTGAGAGTCTGTGCAGCAGCCAATACGGCTCCCCCTCCTCCAGTTGTTGTAAATAATCTAAGAACCTTGCTGGTTAATAATACATAAACACTCTCATCATCCTCCTTCCCCACCTCTTTAACTTTTATTTGTCTCGCCTGCTGGATGGATCCTCGGTCACTCCCTTTGTAGACTGCACTTGTTTTCGCTCCAAATATTCTCTGCATCCTGGCCTGGTTGCATCAATAAATCAGGAGGGGTGAATACCTTGTACTCAACTCTCCAGTGTCAAAAGTAGAACAGGGTTTTCCCTATTTTAGTGTCAGTCTGAGAATCTGTGGTCTCTTTGAAGCCTATGAGCGTAGCTCAATGCAAGCTCCTGGCACAGGGGACGACTGTATTTTCACCCTCGGGCACTTAGTTGGCTTGCATGAACACTTTAAGGTCAGCTTCAAGGCAAACAGACACAAGCCTGGCTGGCTATGCTTCAGCAAGAGGAAGAATTACAGGGTGAACACAAAACAAGTCCCATAACAGGCTCGGCATTTGAGGATACCTTTTTGAAATACGTTTTTTTATAGCAATGCTAAAGAAAACTCAAAGAATAACAGAAACTTGGCTGCCTGCAATGAATATAACTATTAGGCTGAACATCTTTTTCACATTTCTGTCATTCAAAACTAAATCCTTAATTTGAATTTTTTCCAATGATAACAATATCTTTAAAAGCAGTCGACAGGTCAGATATTTGCGAAAATGCAATAGTTTTGGTTATGATCTGTTATTAAAAACTTGAAGTATTATTTCATACCAGAAAAAATTATCTTAATATATAGTTTAATGCAATACAAATATATATTACGTCTATATTTAAATTAAAACCATAATTACAAAAGACTTGCGGTATCACAACATCCCAGTCTCTGTGGGTTGTTAAGGCTAATGTCAATGCTAAGGAAACATTTTCTAAAGTTTTACTGAAGAATATTATTAGAATGGCTTTTTTATTTGACCCTTCAGGACTAAAAGATTTAAGTTTATGAGCAGACTGATATCTCAGTAGTTATGTGTTGATGCGTCTATGAGCCTCTAGCCTATTTTCCTGAATTTACTTCAGCTTGAAGCTCCCATGCTGTTTGGCGGAGGGGACGACAAGCCATCCATGTTAAATGGGACCAAACGAGCAAACAAGCAAATGTTACTCGATGGATTTTGGGGATACTCAGAATCAAGCTCAACTCAGACACCAATGGCAACTCCATGAAAGGAAAAAAAAACAAAAACTAAAATTGTCGAGTGCTGTCATTACCCGATCCGTACCGGAAGCACGATCCATACCATCAGCTCATTTGCGCCTGCGCGAACAGAATAACTTCCGGTGGCAATATTTCCTTTTTCTTCCTTTTTTATTCTTTTGTATTCTTTAGAGGCATGGGTTTCTTTTTGTATATCTTTGTATTTTCGTCAATATTGCATTTTCTAAAAATAAAAAAACAGAAATACATAAAAAAGTTCAATCGCCTTGTGATAGTTACTTTAAATGCTCTGAGTATGCGCAAATATACGTCACACAGCGTATATATTTAAATTTGTTTAAATATTTGATTTACTCTGTACTTAACTATGCACTCCAGCAGTACTGATCCCACAATGGATTCATTTGCTACCTTTCGTGACCTGCAGTTTTTCATAATATATTCCCAGACTGCTCTTAGCATGTCTGATGATGACGTCAAGCAATACAATG